TTTTTTATCTCTTTGTCCATCAACTCCTTAATCTTTGGTTCAAATGGTTTTCTGAACCCAGTGAAGCAAAGCTAGAAGCCAATAGGCATCTCTGCCTTTAAGGCTCAGGCGATGGGCTTTAAATAAGATGCAATTCTCTTAAATCAATTAAACCTTTCCTCTCCCTGAGAGTAAAGATTCTGGAAAAAGGGCACCTGCGAAAGGGCTCTGCAAAATGGAAAAATACAAACAATAACATGGGTGATGGCCCCGGAGGAAATGGAAGTGGACAAGAGCAGTAAGATGCTAGGGACTCCACTGCAGGAAGAATGTCATGCTACAGGCTGAGAGAGAACCAAGATATGTTTTCCGTAACTTTGGAGTAAATAACAATTCACCTTACATTCTCTGTCTAAAATACTCTCTTCCAGTTCTTGGTCTCCCAACCATAGAGTGTTTGCACCTTTTTCAGCTGACACAAAAAGTTAATGTTTCTGTAAAAGGGGTACAGCTCAGGGGAAAGAAATCTGTATTTTATTGCAGAACAACAGGATATTTGTGTATATGGATTTCCTGAACAAATGATCACTTGTATGTATTACAAGGGCCAGAAGAATTAGACAAATCTGATCGCTGAAGCAACACAGCATAATGCTTAGCAACAGATCAACAGAAAAAGGGACTTTCTAGACCAGATATGTCATTTCACAGCATACAGCACTCCGCTTTTTGTAAATTATTTTCTGAAGAAACCCAAACATCTCCTGCACGCTGAGGGGAAGAGTGAAATTTTGGGGTCAGTTCTAATCATGCTCTTTCAGAAAACGATCCTATGTCAGGATGATATATACATACATCTTAAAGCAAGCATCACGTCAGGGGTTATTTTGAAATAATTTTTGATTTCTTGCAAATAATCCATCATGTCTCTGGCTCATTTGCTTTCTACTGCCGGGTAAGACTTAAATACTCCTTGGAGATGTCCTGCTTCCAGTGGGAATGTTCCTACTGCCTGCTACATCATTTAGCATTTTTACTATATGTGGTAGGTTGTTCTGAACATTAATTGTAAGGAGGGAGAAGCCGGTAAAGATTTGACTTTTAGTCAGGATAGGTGGGCTCTCAGAGCAATGAAAAAACAAGTTAACACAGGAGGGGGAACCAGCATTTTCTCTTGAAAACCGTGTTCTCAGGAAATGGTCTCATGGAATCCTAGAACTGAACAGGATAATTTAGGCCACCAAATATTCAATGTATTCAATTCATTGTGAAAACAGTGAATTAAATGACCCTGCAAGACAGTGTTTCTCAACCTTAGCCACTTGAAGATGTGTGGACTTCAACTCCCAGAATTCCCCAGCCAGCTGTGCCAAGGTTGAGAAACTCTGTTGTAAAAGTACAGCGCACAGGAATTGCATTTCCCAATTTAGAGACCACTGAAGTAGATCACACAAATGCATTAATAATACATTTTCCAGTGAGAGTCCTTGTTTGTTGGTTGGCACATACATTTACTAAATAGCATTCTACATTTAGAGGCATGTCTACTTGTTTGTTTATTTATTCATCAAATTTATGACTACCCATCTCACGAAAAAGTGACTCTGGGCAGTGTACAAGACGCTTATAAAAGAATTAATATATAAAAAAAATGTTATTAAAAAAAAATTAAAAATACAAGGCTAAGAGAGAACAGCAGATGTTAATAACAATGGAGCTACCTCAGTATCTCACTGGTCCCCCGAGGCACCCAGGCCTGATGGCATAACCATGGGTTGCATACATTTATTAAATAGCCTTCTACATTTAGAGGCAATGTGTCCTTGAATATCGCGGCCGGGAGACACCTGGCCGGTCTTCAGGGGAACAAAATGCTGGATTCTGGTCACAACAGAGCTTCCCTTTCAAATACGTTTTTCTTAACAGAGGATGTTTTTGTGGATAATTGTGCTATAAATAGTTTAAGGGTACACAATGTGAACACAGGGAATATTATTCAAAGATGCTGTTTTTGGTGCTGAAACATGAATTTTTAAACAGAAGGCCATTTGGTTTTCTAATTTTTTCCAATACTGTACGCACCAGACAATTTCTCCTGACCTGCAGATTTAAAGTTTGCTATTGTGGGTTTTAAGAATGTAGAGATGAAACAGATTTCCTTTTCTGGATCACTGTCATCTCCAGGATGATTGGCAGTCCGCAAGGCTGGCTTTCTCTTGCAGTGTAAGTTATTCCCACCTGGTGGTAAATAGGTACAGTATATGTGGGAGGTCCATGAATATGCATAAGCACAGAACATAACCTCTTATGCAGAGAGCCTTCACATGAAAGGAGGTTATCGGCTCTTTTGAGGTTCACAGTATGGAGCTCGGAAAGCACAAGGCTGGTGTTTTTGAAGAAAGGAGTGGGCTGCTATCCCTTGAGGAAGCAAGCTTACATCCCACCTGAAGTACTTTGCTGCAATTTAGTGGCTGGAGTAGAGGGTCTTGGGGGCAAGGGCTTTCTCTCATGTAAAGCTCACACACCGACATGGGGTTAGTCAAATCATCTTAGCTTAAGTGACTTGACAGGGTGAGGGTAAAACCAGGGAGGGGGAGAAAAAGAACGATGAGTGTCCTGTTGAGCTCTTTGGAAGAACTTTGAAAAAGTTACATGTGGGGTCATCTCTTTGGTGGTGTGGGACCTCTCTGTTTAGAGGCAGTCAGCCTCAGAATATCATTTGACTCCTTTGCCTAGAGCCCAAGAAAGGGTGGTTTCCCTGGGGTCCTATCTGGCAGCTTTCCAGAGGCATCTCACGGGAAACTGAGGGCAGGTGGCTAGCCCTAAAGGCCTTTATCTGTCCAGCAAAGGCCAACTTTGGGGCTAAAACAAGAGCGAAAGTGTTTCTGGCTACCCATCTCAGGTTTTAACTCAGTATCCCAGAGCAGAGGAAAGCAGCTGAGCGTGCTTCCAGATGTTACAGGTCAAACTGAACGTATGCAGTAAGTTCAGCTTTTCTTCCTTGGGCACACGTCCACTGCAGCCCCGTCATGTTGTGAGGCATCCCCCAGTGGGGGCCACCAAAGGGCAGCGTCCCCTGGGTTTCCAACATGAGCCAGAGAGGCCCACCTTGCCAGCACTGCCCTTCCAGGCTCCAGCTGCTTCTGATGATTTTGCTCCAACGCTCTGTCTGCGAACGTGCAAAGTTGAAAAGCTTGTTCCTTTCTTGGCTTGCGCTGGAGGAAGACTTAAAAAACAGCAGTGCCTTCCTGCCGATCAGCCAGGTGGCGGAAGCTGGGCTGGGAATATTCCATCCCTCTCACAGTCTGCTTAAGACCTTGTGGGTTCTCTCCACTCCATTTCGCCACCAAATTTGATCGGAAAACCCAATGTGGTTGATTTCAAACCATCCTTTACTCAGTTTCACAGAGCCCAGACAGCTCTCTGGCTCAGCCTTCGTGGTTGTGATAGAAGCATCGGTCTTCTCTGAGCGCAGCTCAGAGTGAGAGTGGACAGCACACAAAACTCAGTTCAAAAAAAAAAAAAAAGGGAAATAAGCCGATAGGACTGCAATTTGGTAAGAGGTCTTCCATGTTCCACTGAAAGGGGGATTCCCGCGTTGTAAAGGCCATCAGGGAGGCCAAATTTCTAGCTTCCTTTCTGGAGGAGCCGGAGCATCGTGTGCCTTGCTAGAAAAGCACTAACTGCATCAGCAGGATGTAGACATCTGCCTCTGAGGGCATAGCCTGTTGGAAAGGGAAGAAAATGATGAGAAAACAGGCCCTGTGAAGTCTGTAAATTGCAGGAGAGGAGTGTCGTCAGCCTGTTCGTTCAGAGGGCAATTCTCAGGCTGGGGCTTTTCACAGGCAGCCCAGCATTTTTGAAGGTCTGCCTGTTTTTCACTCTGTCCTTGAGGTCAAGGAGCATAAGCTTGAAGTGAAACTTTTGGCACCTCGGCCAGCAGACGGCACACAAGCCCACATTGCAGATGAAGGGCAGACATGCTTTGCAAACAGGAAAACTGGGTTAATGGGTTACTTCCGCCTTTTCTATTGTTTTTTTCCACCCTTCTCTGCTGTGAAAGCTTAAGCCAAGGTGGACTGTATCTACCATTCTGATAGCATCTTTTTGAAAAAAAAATCCAGTTTTTCCTCATAGTTGGGGACCATAAAAGGAATCCTTCCTTGCAATATGAATTTAAGAAGCGCAAGGCTTCATCTGGCATCTATTAGCTGCACACAAAAGGTCATATGTTAAAAGGCAAAAGTTTTCTACAATCTGAAGAGAAACCAGGAAAAAAAAAATTAAAAGGGGCTTTAGATTTGGCAGCCCCAGCCAAGAATTCGAGTTTTAACATTTCTGGAGGCCTGCAGATTGGGGAATGTGGTTTTCCCCTTACAGAAATGCAAAAAAATCCAATCCCCATTTTTTTCAAGATGAGAAGATGGCCGGAAACCTGTAACAGTTTTGGCTTCCATAGATACCCTAGCTTTTGCAAAAGCCTTCCTAATTTTTTTTTTTTAAATTAAGGATTTATTTGTTTAAAACACTTAAGGAACAGGATAAAAATCTACATCAAATTAAAAGCAAAAGGTGGAAAGAAGGCCTAGTGGGTGAAGATTAAAATATCAGTACATAAATAAAGGATTTACAATGACTCCTGTATTTAAAATTCATATTTCACCCATTCCCTCCCTGAGGCCCCACAGACGCCAAAGGCGGGAAAGCCCCAACTCCCCCGCCTCTTCAGAAAAAGCAGCTGCCCCGCCCCTCAGAGGCGGGGAGAAGTGAGGAACGCCCCTTCCCTTAATCCCGTGACCAACTCGTCCCCGCCGTTCGCCTCCGGGAGAAGCCACGCCCCTCGCTCTCCCTCTCTCCCTCCTCCCCTCCGGGCTGGAGCCACGTCAACCGCCCGATGGCGTCTTTCAAAACGGACCAATCGCGACGCGCGAAGGGTGAAAACAACAACGGCTGCGGCCAACGGCGAGAGGGGAGGCCCGACGTCCGTCGGGTTCGCCTTCGCTGATTGGCCGCTAGGGCGCCCGCCCCCAAGATGGCGGCGCCCAGCAGAAGGGAGGAGAGCAGTTGGCGGGGAGGCGGCCGAGGAGCCTGACGGGGCGGCGGCCTTTCGCGCCCCTCGCGGCGGGCAAGGAGGGAGCCCCGCGTGGCCTTCTCTGCGGTCCGGATCCCATGCGCCTTTTTGGGGGCGCCCCTCCTCTGGGGGAGGGGATTCCCGTGGGCTCGCCCCTCCACTCCCCCACCCCAGACCCCGCCTCGCGTTCTGTCCGGCCGCCCCTCTTGCTCCACCTAGCGCAGGCCCCCTTTCGACCCACCGGCATGACCTTCCCGCCCCCTTAAAAGGGGTCCCAGACTCTGATCCGAATTAAAAGACTGAGCTCGTTCTCCCCCCGAATCCCTGGGCAGGAAGCAAGAAAGCCCCTGGGGGGTGAGGAGAGGAGGAAAAAAAAGGATTCCCCCGGGTTGGGGCCCTCGCCCGGCTTCGGAATTCAAGCAGCGACGGGGCCTAGTGGTTTGGGAGCCCCGCCGCCTCGTTTCGGGGTGACTCTATCCCAGAAGGAAGTGAGAGTGGGCTCCCCTTGGGGAGAGGAATTGCCCATTAGGTGCCCAAGGGAGCTGTACCCGTGGTGCCTCTCCCACATTTAGAATGGCCATCCCATCTGCTCTGTGATGCTCCGCGAGCAGAGACTTTGCAGGACTTCCTCCCTTGTTGCCAAAGCATTTTTTTCCCCTTAATGTGCAAAATTAGGTGACAGCGCGCACACAGGCCTCTCATTCTTGCTGCCTTCGCGAAGCCATGCAGTTTGCTTCACCTGTGGTGCAGCCTGGCAGTTCTTGTCTTGGCTGATTCTACATCGAGAGCTCAGCTATGGATCTGGTGTTCCTGGTTATCAATGGCATGGGGATGGTCTTGGACCTGCTGGTAATCCTGCTGGACATCAACTTCTTCCTGGTTTCCACCTTCCTCTCTGTCTTGATCTGGCTCATCGCTTTTATTTACAACCTGCCCAATGCCACGGTGGCCTGTCTGAGCCAGTTCTGGAATGGGATCCTGGTCGTTTTGCTATGCATCGTGGAGGTGTTGTATTACTTGACTCTGGGCTCTGTGCATGCTGTCCTCAACTTGGTGAGGGGATTCTGCTCCAGCATGGAGAGCTTGAAAGTCATGGGCCACCTGTTCACCCACCTGACCCTGAGAAGCAAAGAAATTATGCACCGAAGTTTCTGGAACCTGATTGGGTCTGGGCAGATGCTTCTGAGACAAATGTGTGAAGTATGTGCCATAGCCATGAGCCTTGTGGCTTACTTCATCAACAGCATAATCAACATCTGCCTCATTGGAACTCAGAACCTTTTTGCAGTGGGGCTGGCCCTGTGGGATACTATCGTCGGTCCCTTTCTGAGAATCACAGACATCTTCGTTGCCTTTCTTGCACGTCTCTCCAGCAGTGCCATCGCTACAGCCATTCTCCTGTGGACTCCCTGTCAGCTGGCTTTTGACCTCCTGGCCTCGGTGAGCAGGCTGCTGATCAACGTCTTCTTTCTCAACCTTTATGGCGTGGTGTTGCTCTCTGTGATTGTTGTCACCAGCATCTTTATCCTGAACCCCCAGCTGACTTGGACCCTGGCAAATCAGGTGTCTGGCTATTTGAACACGATGCCTTCTTACCACCGCTTGCTCAGGGACATGCGACGCCTTTATCACATAGTGCTCTTGTCCCTCGAGATGCTGTTGAGCTCCCAGACCTGGCGTAGGTTGGCAGAGTGGAGTCTTCAGGTGGTCAGTTGGAACAGGAATGACTGGACAGCTAACCAGCATGGAGAACAAGAACCGCAGCTGATGCTTGAAGCTTCCCGAGAAAGGGCAGGGGGAGCTGCTGTGGGACAGAGACTAGCTCCTCTAGGAGCACCATATTCAAGAAGACAAGGGCCAGCTGTGATCATTCGTCCCCGCCAAAGAGGCAGCAGGGACCAGTCCAGAACGGACATTGATCTGGGAATGGCCACACAACGGAGTCTGTTGTTAGGGCAGCAGTTTCAGCCTCAGGGGGAAGGGCCAAGCGTATCACATGCCAAATTTGCAAAAAGAGAGCAACTAAATGCTTTGGAAGAAGATAATGACCCATGGCTGCTTCTTAAAGAACAAGAAGAACGGAAGAAATGTGTCATCTGCCAGGATCAAACAAAGACAGTCCTCTTACTGCCCTGTCGGCACCTTTGCCTCTGCCAAGAATGTACTGAAATCCTGCTGCAACAGGCCGTCTACCAGCGGAACTGCCCACTGTGCCGGCAGATGATCCTGCAGACTCTCAATGTCTACCTGTGAGCTACAGAGGAGGCAGCTTTATCTCCTTTGCGTGTGCTTTTTGCCGAAGCACAAGAGATCTCTGGCCCTTGGACCTCTATAACAGCTAGTACAGACTCTCGGTGTCAAGCTTGGATACCCCTTTTTTATTTCCAAAGACATTAATTGCAATTAGCGAAACTCGAAAAATGCTATGAATTGGGGTTTTTTTGCACTTCTGTTTTCATTGTTTGTTGCTCTCATAAGAAAAGAAAAAAAAAATAACCCTAATTGCTGATCAAAGTCATAGTCTGGAAACTTTCCTGTTGCGGGGGGGGGCAGTGTAATCATGCACCCATATTCAGATGTGAGGCTAAAAGTATGTATATTTTTCATCCAGAGTACAGAAAGTGCGGGTGCTGAATTCCTTATATTTGGGGCTTTCTATAAATTAGTCTTTTGAAGAAAAAAGTCCATAGCAAGCTTAGTTGATTAAACATGTCTGAAAATATGAATAGGGTAATTCTGCCCCCATTATTGAAGTAACAAGAAGGTTTCCAGCCACACCATTTCCTTGTAAAGTTCATTGTAAGCTCACCCCTGACCAGCATTGACCTCTGAGGAACGTTGTATGATTCGCGTAACACATTTATAAGTTCTGCTCCTAGAGAAGTCCGTACTTCCAAACCTTGATCTGTAGGTGTTTGGTGCTACCCACAGAAGGGGACATTAACTTTGTCTTCATTTATCAAAGCCATGCATTCTAGAGTTTCTGCTCCTACAAGGCACAACTAATGTGTTTGATTTCAGCTCTTGTTGACCATCTTGTTGACCATCTTGAGTTGATTTCAGTTTTAAAAAGATATACCATTGGTCCAAATATTTTTTCCAAGATTGTGTATATATGTTTGTTCAGTTCCATAAGAAAATAAGCTGGACACTGAATGTGCAGCCATAGAGCACATAGATGCTTCATAGATCAGCTTATTACACTTAAGAAAGACCCTATTCCACCTGCTGGCATGCAACTTCCACAGGTTACCTATGCAAAATTGTACATTCCAGCTCTATTGCACAACTCTTAATTCCATTCCTCCCTCTTTTGGGGATAATTTTTGGGAACCTAATAGTACCAACTGTAGTCTGTTAGCTACCAAATGGCAGTTCCGTTAGCAGCACTGGAAGGTAAAAGGGAAACTGATGGGTTTGGCCTGAGGCAGCCAATGAAAAAGCTTTTTATGAGTCTGGGCTGGATTTGAGCAGGATGACACATCTGTGAGGTCAGGTTCTAGATTTCATCATTTAACTCTGGAAAGCAGAATTGCTGTAGCTGCTAAGAAGGCATTGTAGATACTGTAAGGGTAATTGTAAGGAAAGAAGGCGATCGTGATGCCAGTGGTTTGCTTGACCCTTGGGCGAAGAGGAATTGTTCTCTTTTCAGAGCCAGTCATTAAATACCCACACCACTGCTTCTTGGAAGATCAGCCCAGAGTGTGATAATTGGTGGGTGATATGTGCCCACACCCAGTAGAACCAATTGTTTTTTTTTAATGTTTAAATTGGAAAGAGACTGAAATCCTGAAG